TTCTGTTGCACCTCCGACCAATTCATTTCCAACAGGTGATCGGGACGGGACAAAACCAGACGCTGAGTATCTTGAGTGCCCGTCTGTCCAGAGGAAAGGTCCGGGAAGAGAAACTCCCTTCCACCCACCAAACCACAAGCCAACAGACATCGCGGTTGATCTTTGCCCCTGTCACCGTCTCGTACCCTCTGATTTCATTTGTTAATCTCGGCTCTGCTCGACGCAAGAACTGAAACTTCGTCAGCGGAGACAGAATACCTAGCCGAGGTGGTAGCTCCAGGTAGAGAAATTCAGTGTAGGACCGGATTAGTCATTAACTTACGAAGGAAAGGTTCCAACGCAAGAACGTAAAGCAAAGGCGAAAACTGATAGCCTTGACGAATGAAGCGAGTCAATACGAAAGGCTCCGATCGATCCCCCATTGCCTCCCAAAGTTAAATCGATCAGCGCAGCTTCACTCTCAACTTGCTCGATGATCAAGGGTACCATATGAAGGTTATCCTGAATAGTCACGTCCTTCAATGCACAAATATGTTCGGGGCCAAACATACTAGAGAGGACAGCTTGCAAACGGTTGGCTAGGATCTTGGCTAAAATCTTTAAATCTGTATTTAACACCGTTAAAGGCCGAAAGTTACCTATCCCATCCCCACCGCTTTTGCCCTTGCTTAACAACTTGATTACAGATTACACACCTGGTGAAACGCTGAGGTATAGGCCCCTGCTACAACCAGTTTTTGAAAATCAATGCCAGCAAAGAAACAAAAACGGGCAACTGCCTCAAGTACAATTCATAGGGTAGACTATCTGATCCAGGAGATTTGTCCCGGCCAACCTGCTTCAGTGCTTCCCAGATTACCGACTCTGTGATGAAACCCTCGCACACAGCTGCCTCAAGGCAGGGAAAGTCAGCTATATAGGCGTCGAACTGAGCAGTGTTCAGACCAAGCTCTCTGGTGAAAAGATCTTGAAAGTAATCACAAAAAGCCTCGTATATACCCGCGTTTTTACTCACGGTCCGGCAATGTGACATAAATAATATGTCACTGAGATGCATTCCGAACTTCTTCTGCACGTAGTTCTGCGGTCATATTCGTTGCCTCAGAGGACATTCTTTTTATCCTAACCCTAACTATTAGAGATTGATCCTTCTTGATAATCAAGAAGGCCAACTCTGCCATAGCTAAAGTTACATCCCCACCGGATTTAATTGCCCGATCGACTTTCTGCTCACAAGTCGTTTGCGCTGCTAATCTATCTAGATTGAGCTGACAACTATACTCAGAAGCAAGCGTTCTAATTTTAGATGTTAACTTATCCCACCACATATTCCCAACTACAGGCCCGTCAGTAGTAGCAGCTGGTCCCGAAAATCTTGCTCAGCAAACAATGATGAATTCAATTTCCAGTAGCTAGACATCTTAACCTTAGGCTTATATATACGAGCCTATGATGTGTTTAAACTATATAAATGGGAACTTGGACACCTTAAGAGACCTACACCGACTCTCCTAAGACTCGGTCGATTTAAATAAAACGAACCTCAGTAGCCGAACCTCCCCTATTAGCCCAAGTCCACACTACTTCCCGAGTGTGTTCATTCAGGTACTTATCGACAAGATCGAACTTGTCGATAAAATCCCGAAATGGTTTCACGTCCCGGTTTTTTGTACCCGAATTTGAACCTATACGATCTATGTCGGGGTCATGGACGGCATTCCAATCCCCCGCTAAAACTACCCGACGAGATGTCGTCAAGAACGACTCGATACGCCGAAACAAATCAAACCGCTCAGAATGATCATTTGGGCGCATAGGGTAACAATAAAAAGGCGCAGGGAGGCAACTTTACGGCAGTGAAGCCGAGCCGCCAGATCAGGACCAATAATATTGCTGATTCTTCTTTGAATTTTATGAAGAATTTGCTTTCCGATCCCGATTACGTATGTTAAATATTTTCTTCTGTATCCTGCGTCCCTTCAGGGCATGCGCAAACACGGTTCTTCAAAAGGCCCTATCCGTTGTGACAAGTTTTTGTTCCCCCCTTTGCTAAGGTTTCCAACCCCCTCCCGGTATCCATTCAAATAAATTCGTCAGGTAGGACGACTCGTTACCTTACCCATTCTTCCTTGGTCTCAATATGATCTGTGAGGGATAAATTTTCTCCTCTGGGGAGATTTCTAGCATTCACTGCCATATCACATAGCAATCCAGCACTCTTTTCTTTGTTTCTCTGCTGAACATACCATAGTTAGTTTACATTTTCAAAATATTCAGCACCACCTTAGAGGAGGATAGGCGCTGGTAAGCTGTTAAATCACCATAAGGTTATTTTAGTAATATATATATATATATATATTTTACTAAAAATATTCGTTGCAAAACATCACGTAAAAGAAATGGCCGAAACCAATGAGAACTTGGGAAACTAAAATTTGAGGATTCTTGGTACCAATCCGGCCCGGAATATTTTCAGTTCACTGAGTCGAACTTATTCCAAACTGGTATGATATGTTCGGCTACTACCTCTAGGAGTACAGTTGAAAAAGCGTGACAGTGGTACACTGACATTCGCATTTATCTCATATATATATATATATATATATGGTCATGTGTGACGTCATGAGCTGCGGTGCGATTTTCGCTTCCAGTGTCTTATATGCACATGTTTATCGTTGCTTGGAAATCATCCATATAAATTTTATTTAGTAATATATATATATATATATATATATATATATATATATATATATATATATATATATAATCCCAATAAGTAAACAGGGAAGACCCGTGACTTGAGAGACTATTGGGCCTCAATCCACCCTTCGAGGGGAAATCATACATACGATCCATAGCTAAAGATGCAGAAAATATGGTCGGTTTCCTGTACCGCTCTAGTAAGTACCTGACTTCTCATGATAGCCTCTATCTTTACAAAAACAAGGTCAGGCCTAATATGGAATCCTGCTGTTATATTTGAACAGGGGCTGCCTAGTCTTTTCTTTCTAGTGACGATAGAGCCCAAATGCGTTTCCGCGTCCTTGTGGGTGACAACCCCTCACTCACAGATGAGATGTCGCAAGCCTTTCACTGTTCTATCGCTTCTTCCATGGAAAGTGCTGGGACGTACTACGTCCCTTGGTTCCGACAAGACTATCCTTCACGTCTAGAACCCGCCATGCTACCCACATCGGTGTGAAGTTCCACTCAGGCAGCTTCTTCTCACAAATCAATGTGGAACCGTTTTCCCGATCACTTGAATTTTAATCTGTTCATCTCTAGGATTAACCGTTATCTTTCCTACATATTCTAATAAACTGCGACTCTTGCCGCTTAATCTTACCACTCACACAACCTCCTTCAGTAATTCTCTACTCAAGTGGCTCTTGAGCCTTCTATAGTGGAAACATTTGTAAAATAAACTCTCATCATTGCAATGACGTGTTGCTATTTTATACGTTTTGGGTTACTTTGCCACATATTTTGACGTGAAAAAATTTTCAACGAAATCTTGAATCTTATTTCCATCATAGGTGTTCCCAATCATCGTTTTTACAGCATAATAATCGCTTAGTCTGGTAATAATCGCTTAGTGAGTCAGTCAGTCAGTTATGTGACATACGTGATACACACTTAGGCGATCATGTATCTTTCGATACATGACTAACGAGGCAGATTTTTTCCTGCAGTAGGTTACCATTTCTTTCTGCGCTAGATCAGTTGCCATCCAAGGCTATGGAACCCGGTCTGTCCTGCTATTTACCCATAGCTGGTGGGGAGAAGAATACGATTCATACCTTTCCCAAGGGTATGAGCACGTAAGTGAATGTAATGGATTCGACTGGAATTCGAACTCGGCTCTCCGATTCTTCCTTGCTTAACTTCGGTGATTGCATGCATATTGCAACTTTGTGTTAATCAAATTCGAGTTAATATTCGACCACTAGCATTTACAAATATTCACGCGAAATAAAATTAATTTAATTTATAATCGCCATTGAATATTCACAAACTTATGATTATTTTACATTCATTCACATATATTTTTTTATTTATTTCTATGACTGATTCTTTTTTTGATTGTCTTTCTATATCGCCATACTCATTTTTTAATAGTTATTTCCATGTTTTTATCACTTATGTGCCATGCTAGATACACGCTTAGGCAATCATGTATATTTCGATACATGACTGGCGAGGCAGATTTTTTTCCCGCAGTAGGTTTCCATAGACCAGTTGCCATCCAAGGCTATAGAAACCGGTCTGTCCTGTTATTTACCCATAGCGGATGGAGAAGAAGAAGATTCATACCTTTCCCGCGTAAATGAATGTAATGGATTCGATTAGAATTCGAACTCGGCTCCCCGATTCCTCAATTCGAGCCGTTATCCATTACTCCACCGTGCTTCTATGTCTTTATACTTGTTCAAATAATTGACTCCTTGTTTGTATCCTCTCTAACACTTCATCGTTGCTCTCACGCTTGGTCCATGATATCCTTACTCGCGTCGAGTCTCTTCTCACAAGTTGCATATAATTAAACCACTTCAATGAAACTTTCAAGAAAGTTTATGTTCAAATTAAAAGAGATGATTATACAAAAGGCAGAAATATCACAGGATGGAATCAGTCAGTTTTGTGGCATGCGTGATACACGCTTAGTCGATCATGTGTCTTTCAATACCTCACTGACGAGGCAGATTTTTTTTTCCGCAGTAAGTTGCCATTTCTTTCTGTGGTAGACCAAGGCTATAGAACCCGGTCTGTCCTGGTAGAAGAAGAGGATACATAACTTTCCCAAGGGTATTAGCACGTAAGTGAATGTAATGGAAGTGAATGTATTGGATTCGACTGGAATTCGAACTCGGCTCTCCGATTCCTCAATCTGAGCCTCTATCCATTATTCAACCGTTTCTTTTCCTAATAATCGATTAGAGTGAACTGATATAATAATATATATTATGGCTTATTATATCATCTACTCTATATATAGCGGCTTACGGTCATAGAACGTTAAAACATCGGTTCCCATACGATCAGCAAAGTTAAGCAACGTCGAGCTTGGTCAATACCTAGATGGGTGACTGCTTTGGGAATACCAGGTGCTTTAAGTTTGGAGATCAGAGAGCCGAGTTCCAATTTCAGTAGATCTTCATTATATTCGCTTACGTCCAAATGAAGTTGGGAAAGGTGAGAATCTACTCAGCTTGGGTTTAAGTATTAAAATTTGTATCAAGAAAAATCATTATCATCTCCAAAATGTCCCCACATCTAAAAATATTTTCCGTCTTTAAACAACCTGCAAAAGTGTTGATAAGCCGTACGAAACAATTGTACTCAACATGCTCTATATGGAATAAGCGACTGTGTAAATTTTTAATAGAATAAGCGATTGTGTAAAATTTTAATGTAATAAGCGACAGTGTAAATTTTTAATGGAATAAACGACTGTGTAAATTTTTAATGGAATAAACTACAGCGTAATTTTTTAAAGGAATAAGCGCCTGTGTATATTTTTAATGGAATAAACGACTGTGTAAATGTTTAATGGAATAAGGGACAGTGTAAATTTTTAATGGAATAAGAGCCTTTGTAATTTTTAATGAAATAAGTGACTGTATAAATTTGTAATGGAATAAACGCCTGTGTAAATTTTTAATGGAATAAGCGACTTTGTAATTTTTTTCATTAAATAAGCGATCGTGTAAATTTGTAATGGAATAAGCGCGTGTGTAAATTTGTAACGGAATAAGTGCCTTTGTAAATTTTTAATGAAATAAGCGACTGTGTAAATTTTTAAACCTATCGAACTGTTATATTTAAAATAATTTCGGTAGGAGTATCTTTATGTATGCATATATCTCTCAAAGAAAGAATCAACTGCAGTGCTGAGCGGATCGAATCAATTTTGATTCGATCTTGGCTCGTGCAATGCCGGATATTCTTGCCAGTATCATCTATCGATTTATTATCCCTTTCCGCTTATCTATCTAATACTAAAAAGAAATATAAACATTTGCATAGAGCTCTCCTCGAATGTTAATGCATATAAATGAGTTCACATAGCTACACTTGTTATATTCACTTCCATCCTTGTGTCTGCTTACACGTATACATAAAGGAAAGTCCACAAAATGTCCGACTCGCTTTTCTTTGGATTTACAATATGTCCGTTTGAAATTATTACCATATCCAGAAATTGTTTCAATGAATCTAAAACTCGATTGAATAAAAATCAAATTGATTTATCTTGCCACTATACACGATGAATTAGTTTGAGGATATATGAGCGAGAATCATGTATCTTCATATTTATAGCTGACGTTGCGCATGCGCAGATGCTATTGTGTAGCTATATATTTGAATAATCTGAAGCTATCTTTCATTTTCCTTTTTTCTCTCTTTTTTTTTCTGCTTACGTATTTTTATGAGAAATCCTGAAGAGCGTAAGTGTAGACTGAGTGAATTAATATACGTAATTTAATTTTATTAAAGTGCTGAAGCAAACGCGCCATATATAGAAGAACTTTTTTTTCTTTTTCTTTTTCAAAAACGGAGAAGAGATTTATTCGAGGAAAAAAGAGAAAATTGCTGCGAGTATTTTTACAAGACGAGTATGTTTTAGGTTGAAATTATTCTTTTAGGATTAAAAAAAAATGACAACTCGAACTGCGAATCTTTAATTATGAAATTTGCGAGGTTTAAGTTTTAAAATTATAGTCGAATTAAATAAATATATAAAGCGTTGTCAGTTATTCTTGACTAGTATTTTTAATCGGTATCACGTCATTTCCCTCCAAACAAGGGGGGTAAAGCCCCTAAGGCCCAAGGGCTTACAGGATGTGGAAGAATTAGGAACAGAAATATTAATAAGGAGCGGGAAGAGAAAAGAGTAGCCAGGAGGACAGTACATAGCGATTGACATTGCATTTAAATTTTTGCAGATTAAACTTGGCTGGAAAACATGAAGCTGGAATTGATTCCCACGCGCGTGAAGTGCGAGAAAAGAATCTGTCTGCATCGAATGTACAGCTGCATGCAGCCTGCTCAACTGTAAATTGATGAAATCTCGACGCCAGTCTAACACTGAGCTTAAATTAAAAAAATCTAGGTACCATGGCGAAGATCTCATTCGAACAATTACCATGAATGTTGCAATGACAAAAGTACACAGGTGTAGGATTTAAGAAAGCTTTATTCAACTGAGAATGCAAGGTTCGCGTATTGTGTCCTTTTATAGTCCCAGTAAATAGAAATAGCTCTCTCAAGGAGGAGAGTAACGAAACAAGGAGAGACCACTATTGATTATTCATAACAAAAGTATTCATAGAAAAGGTACAGAGAGGCAACCTTACGGCGGTGGGAAAGGGACTGAAGCCGAGATGCCAGATCAGGACCAATAACATTAATATCTTACTTATCTCGCAACTCTCTGAACGTTATTTAACGATTGTTAAGTGATCAGCGCTTATCAGCTTATCACTACATCGCATTGAAACACCGGTTCCCATGCAATCACCGAAGTTAAGCAACGTCGCGCCTGGTCAGTACCTAGATGGGTGACCGCTTGGGAATACCAGGTACTATGAGCCTGGATGTGCGGGTGGTGTAATGGATAATGGCTCGGAATTGTTAATCGTAGAACCGCGTTCCAATACCAGTTGGGTTCGTTATATTCACTTAAGCGCAAATAACCTTGGAAAAGGTACGACTCGATCTCTTCTCCTCCAAATGTTGGTTAACTAGTAAGATGGGGAGGCACGGTGGTGTAATAGATAGCAGCTCGGAAGAGCCGAGGTTCGAATTCCAGTCGAATCCATTACATTCACTTATGTGCTAATACCCTTAGAAAAGGTATAAATCCCCTTCTTCTCCCACCCCCAGCTATGTATGGGTAAATAGCAGGACAGACCGGGTTCTATAGCCTTGGTCTACCGCAGAAAGAAATGGCAACATACTGCGGGAAATATCTGCCTCGTCAGTCATGTATCTTTTGATATATGACTGACGAGTTAGATACATGATCGCCTAAGCGTGTATCAAGCATGGCACATAACTGAGTAAAAAGCATTATTGTACCCCATATTTCTTACAATCTAAATAAATAAATAAGTAACCTGCAAAGAGTTGGTAAGCCGTGGAAAACGAATCAGTCAAAATCAAATTAGCGAAAATAGTTCTCGGACAATATTTTAAAGAAGTCTCCGCTGATATTTTAATGAAAAAAATCGCCGGAGAAGTCTCTGGAGTGACATTAAGGAAACTTATAACAATATTATGAATAAGTTTCTTGCGAGATTTTAAAAAAGTCGTCTCAGCTGGGATTTCAAAGAAGTCTTATACAACAGTTTAAATAAGTTTCTGGTGATATTGTAACTGGTTTGGTCACTAGATGTTAAAATAGTCTATTGCGAGATTTTAAAGTTTTCGGAGCGATTTTAAAGATTTTTAAGGAGAAACCCCTGTGGGATTTTAAAGCAGGCTCCAGCGAGATTTTAAAGTTTCGTACGAGATTTTAAAGAAGTCTTCTACGGTGGGATTTTACAGAAGTCTCATGAGAGGTTTTAAAGAAGTCTCGGGCGAGAATTTATTTAAGTTTCTGACGATAGTGTAAAGAATTTTTTTTTTTTTAAGCGTTTCACCCCAAGCAAGGCGGGAAGCCACTAGGACGCAAGGGGTTACAGAAAATTTGGAGCAAGATCAGATAGGAGTGATAGAAGAAAGGATGAGGAGAAGGGTAGTGGATAGATCAAGGCAACTGGAGATGTCGACTGACATTACATTTGAATAGTTGGAGATTATAGCTCTCAGGGAAACTGGAATAGGGAAGGGAGTTCCACAGGCGGGAGGTGCGAGACATGAAGCTATTGGAGTAGAAGAGACGGCTACATTTAGGAGTGAAAGGGTGAGAGCGGGATGCCAGCCTCGTAGGGCGCTTGGGAACCAGCGAATGCAGCTCCTCGAAGCAATTGCCATGAAAGTATTTGTAAAACAGACCCGAGAGAGGCGACGGCGCGTCTGTGAGAAAGTAACTGTAGACGAGATGCCAGAGCAGGGCCAATTATATTGCATATCCGCCTCTGGAGCCTATCAAGAACCCCGAGGCAAACAGAAGGGGCTCCAGGCCATATATGGCAGCAATACTCCATGCAAGGGCGAATTATTGATTTGTAGATCTGAAGGATCGATTCCGGGGAGAATAATTTCCTGGCGCGGCACAGGGAGCAAACTTTCCTTGCAGTGGACGAAGCTATTGACTCAATGTATTTGTTTCATTTCAGGTAAGCAGTCAACGTGAAACCGAGCAGCCGCAGGGAGTTGCTCTCGAGAAGTTGAGCGTCAGACATTCTAATGGAGGGCAGGGAAGGATCTCTGTGGGTTTAATAGTGAGCAGTTTTGTTTCTGAAGCATTTGGCGACGGGTGTAGTCTCTAGTGAGATTTTAAAGAAGCAATCCAGGCGGAATTTTAAACAAGTCTCTGGCAGGATTTTAAGAAAGATTTTGGTGAGATTTTAATGAAGACTCCGGTGAGATTATAAAGAAATCTTTGGTGAGATATTAAAGAAAAACATTCTCTGACGAGATTTTAAAGACGTTTCTAATAAGATTTGCAATATTTTCCATATTCTTCCGAGCTTCATCGTCTGTGTTTTTGGGAAGAATCAGTATAATTTCAAGAGTTGTTCGAACAACTCATTCTTTATGTTGCTTTTAGTATTACCAAGAAATCTCGATACATGGAATGAAATCGCTATTGAAAGCTGCAGATACGAGGTTTGATCAAAAAGTATCGGAACTGTTGCTATGGTAACGAAGCTAAAGTACTCAAAGTGAGACCGTTTCGTACTTCTTGACCTCGCACGTAGACACTGAGTTATAAAGCTAAGAGTATCGCCCATTTTCTTTGTTTATAGTAGTGATTGAAAGGAAAGCGTGTACAGTGTGGTCTCACCATATCACAAAGATTCTTTTCAAGCACATTCGTTTGTGTAGCAGTTCTTGGACTGGTACAATATTCACCAGGTCCGACAACCTCTATATTCCCCAGATATCGCCCCCTCACTTATTTCTTTTTCCTTTTAATTTAAATTAATTTTGAATTTGAACAAGGGAATGACTCCTGGGGTACTTGCATAAATATATTTCATTTTGAACAAAGAGTGTCCACGGGGGTGGAGGTACAAAAACCCACTGATTTTTTTTCCTTTTGATTTAAATTAATTTTAAATTTGAACAAAGCAATGACTCCTATGGTACTTGGATATGTATATTTCATTTTGATCAAGGAAGTGGGGGCACAACCACCCACTGAAATTTTTCTTCGTTTGATTTAAGTCAAATTTAAAGTTGAACAAGGGAATAACCTCCAAGGCCCAATATAGAAGGAGAAAGCCAGAAGGTATAGGTCACATCAGCAAGATCAAAATGAACCAATATGGACGTCAAGGTGAGCCAGAAATCACCAATCAATGAGTAGTGCTTTACAATACATATTTGTTGCAACAATTCAACTGTCATATATCGTCCTGGATAAGACGTTAAACTACATCCGCGTCCTAAACTACATCCGCGTCCTGGGTAAGACGTTAAACTACGTCCGCATCTTGGGTAAGACGTTAAACTATATCCGCGTCCTGGGTAAGACGTTAAACTACGTCCAGCAGCAAGGCCTCTGATCAGGAAGTTTTGAGGGGCATGGAACCATCTCTTAATGGAACCATCCTGACCCGGGGTGGTAGCACCTGTTAGGGTCCCAGTTATGCGCAAATAGTTAACTATTACCAGCAATACCTTTTTTAAAAAAAAATATTACCAGCAATACAATTTTGAAGGAAATATATTACCAGAAAGAGATTTTTGACAAGACAAATAAAAATTTGTGTCAGCATTAAATAACCCATTGAGGTTGATATGCCATAAAACAAAATAAACCAAACCAATCTAAACCAAAGAATACATACTCTATTCATACGAATCTATCCTAAAAATGTTGTCGGCATTAAATAACCCATTGAGGTTGATATGTCGTAAAACAAAATAAACCAAACCAAACCAATCATCTGTCATATCAATGTTAAAATTTGCTCATCACTTCATTCAGTCAAGTATTGCATCAAATCAAAGGGGTCAGATCAAGCTATTTTTGCACCACCACCCCCACTGAATTATTTTTCCTTTTGATTTAAATTAAATTTAAATTTAAAAAAGTGAATGACTCCTATCCAAATTATAGGAGAAAGCCAGAAGATGGAGGTCATATCGATAAGATCCTTGAGTAATATTGAAATGCATCATCTCCACAAATTATAACGACGATTTAAAATCAATCATCATTTTCTTACAAAAATGTGTGCACGCAGCAAGGTGCAGGTAATTCGACTAGTATTATTATATATTCTATATAAACGAAAGAAACGACTAGAAAAAGATGTAAACGTTTAATATTCGGCTCATTCTACAAATCAATGAAGTAGCTGACTCCTTCTGTCATGATTTATCCTTACAAGAGTCAGGTTAAACCAGAAATGAGGGAATTGCTGCCATGCCTGAGCTGGGACTACTTTCCAGCTTAAAAATCCTATATGCAGCTTTGTTTTTGATGACTATGATGAAAAAATATCGCTACTCTATCGCTATTTCCATGGCAAATGTTCAAATGACTTCCAAACTTCAGTTCCACTCCTCCATGCCTTTATATCCAGGACTTGTCATGTTACTGGTCAGCTACATTTCCTCGGTATTCCAATTTGTAAGGATGAGAACAAATTCTCGTATGGATGTTTTCATCGTCATGAGAATCTTAAGCTCTTCGAGTCAAGGGTCAGTCGTTATCTATCCTCCTTATCCTCATAATATCCCCTTCTTTCTACCTCCCCTTACATTCATATGACACACCTCATCCAGTAACCCTTTACTAACAGTGGACCTTGACCCTTGAATTGAATGATCGTTAGTAAAAAGAAAACATAAGAAATATTTTGATATCTCGCTAAATAAAAGGAGTAGATAGGTTCACACTCCTTGCTGGTTCTTTGAACAGGAGTAGAGGTTTATCCCTGGTTTTCTGTTTAAGACTGGGTTTCCGGTTCCTTCTAAAGTCTACTTCAACTTTATACTTCTAACATCTCCACCTAAACTCTGAAAGTTTATTTACTATCTATTTATTTCTCAATAGGAGCAGACAGGTTCGCCTCTCGTTCGGTTCCCACTCCTCCGTATTATTTTGAACAGGAGAGGTTTAACTTTTATTTCCTATTTAGGAGTGTGTTTCCGATTCCTTCAGAAATCTTTTCATTCTCGTTCAGTCCCCTTGCGTCTTAGTTGTATTATTACCTTGCTTGAGGTAAATTGATTTAAAAAACAACAATACCATTTTATGCCCTACTCCCATCACTCAAAGTAAAAGGAAAGAACATTATAAACAATGCATTATGTAGTTTTACGATAGACAAATAAATAGGTGTCAACAAAAAGGCGGCCCAATGTGTATGTTACACATTGGCAATGTCAAAAATCAAACAGATACAGACATTTAACTCTCTGGTTAGTCCAGTAACAGCCGACAGAAAATCGTCAAAATGGCCT